GGATTTCAGTTTCCAACCGGTCATCCACTTCATATTACCACTTGTGATGGTAATGCACGTTTATTGGAAGTCTCAACGCCTCGTTGTGTACATGTCCCCCACTTACTATTTCTTATCTCTCTATTAGGAATGATATTATTAATACAATTTAAAAACGCGTGACTGTGCAACCGTGGACCTGCAAGATACATGGTGCAACAAACATGACTTTCTAAGTAAATAACATGTCCTGCATCTAACTGCTGAGTATACGGTACTTTGACCCAGATAATAGAACTGAATCAGTTTTTCTTTTCAAAACAGGGTTATCTCGCCAGCAATTCGCTGTGGTGTTCTCTCTAGTGGTGTATACGAAGAATGTTTACATTCCATAGCACGTCATACCAGAGCGTCACTTGGGAACAAGTCCAAACAGCCAACTAATTAACACGGTCAGGTCGAGTGCGAGCAAAGATTGTGTTCGTTTCGGTCAACTGGGATAAAAAGCTTCCGCCTGAATAGCCTCATGTGTTCATGGTGGATGTACATGTGGTATTGCCTCGTTGCCAGGGTAATAATTCTCACCTTAACATTCCGCGCTATAAATGGGGGGAGACGGTCGATCGGCAATTGATGTCGAAAGCGTGATAAGTTCCGGTTTGCGAAACTCATTTTATTTAATCGAAAACTTATATTCGTTTACACGAAAGAGTTGTTTAAAGTTGCTAAACACCCACAGAATGGCAAAATACTTATTATATACGTGTTATAAACCTGTGTAGAAAGTTGTGTATCTTACCAGGTTAAAAAAAGGACGTTCGCGCCCTATTGGCGGAATTTGACTGCAATTTTGACTAAGTATGGGATTGAAAGAGGTCGCAAGTCACGGAGATTACATCTAACTGCCTCCACGGAAGGACTGCAATATGATGCGTGAAAGAAAAGAACATGGACATGGTATTAAAATATTCGCAACAAAAGTCTTAAAAACGGTCAGCACTCGGTTAGCTTCAAGTTGGCGATAGGTAAATGGGGGGGGGGTACAATTCGGCGCTGAAATTTTGCAAGTCATAATGATTTTGCTCACAAAATCGAACGCGTAACGTCTTTCGTAACTAATGAGCAAAGTTTTCCCATAAAACAACAGGGTTCACACTTTGAAATAGATTGGGTGGGCAGAACAGTTAGTTGCTGAGTACGTGCAATGGGAATAAGTGTAATGAAAAAAAAGAGTAAACAAGCAGCTCTCATGTGTACGAGAACAAGCCCACCCTCTATTTTTAATGATTATCCCTTAATTTATTTCAGGGATACATTTTGCTCGCCTTTTGAGGGTCCTTGTCACATTTAACTCACCAAATGGCTCTCGCCACTTATTCTACCTCAGTGAACTCTTACACCCAAATTATTTACATTAATTGAAAAGTCGATGTTTTTTTCTTCTTCTCATTTTACAAGATTTTTATTCTTCGGTATAATTGTTCAAGATTTGATGTACACATATTGGATGGCAACATTGTAATCAGATGTTTGGATCGAATAATCAATGATTAATATCAATACCACGATGGCGCCGTAGTTAGGGGATTGTCCTCTTTGTTATAGAAACGGCTCTACTTCTAGCACTGATTGATTAATTTCACGGAAAGAGAAATCCAAAACGTTCAGTGTTACAGTCGTTTCTACGACAAAGCGCATGTTCTTCAACGTCTTGCTCTAAATCATGTCTCTTTTCCACTGTAACCATGGAAACTGTTATACTATCTACAACGTTCGTATCGTGTTACATACCGCGCACTCCAGTCACCAAACGCGTTACTGAACTGATGCATTTGTCGTGGCCGTCAGCGAAACACGGATCAACAGTTTTCGAATAAACGCCGCGAGACAGTACCAGGATAGACAAAATCTGTGGCACGGTTGTGGTTCTTACTTTATTCGTTGATACCCACCATTCAGTGTACCTCGTGGCGGTAAGCGTCTTTTGTTTATATACGTACATTTTTTCCAGAACATTTCTCTCACAACGTATGTGTGCGTCCTGTATATGTGTTCAGATTGCTTATTTTGTTCCATTTGTAGCTTGTTTATACTAATTACAATTAACTGCCAGTGGCTCTCCTCTATGCGACACTACGAAAAGCAAACATTTATAAGCTTATAAAATAATGAAAATTTTACAGTTCAACGCTGGTTTTAAAAAGAGAGTAATGTCGCGTCGTCCGGTTTGTTCATTGAATTCCGACTTTCAAAACGATTAGTGATATCCTTACATATATAAAGGGCTTGTAATATTGCAAATAGAAGGAAACCACAGTAATCGCATTTACCTGAAACCATAAAAAAACGAATATTAAAAAAGCCAAATTGATATGACATATTGAAGGTCATCCAGTTGTCATTTCCACTAGGCATCGGAGAGGAGTAAATATCGACATATGGTGAAAGTATCCACCATGTGAGTCCAAGTTTCAGGCAACACGACGTTGTAGGATTCCGTTGGCGTGATGGCTAGAGCGATAAATAATCTTTCGTTGATAATGCGTGACATTTATAGTGAGACAATTACAGCTATAATACTGTTCTCGGTCTATGCCTCAATGTCATTGACAACTTTGTGAACAGATTCCTTGATACGAGATATCACCTTGCAGTACAGAATACTAGTATTCCTTGGTGATATAAGCCTGGCTAGTGTTTCATTGGCTCCTATCTCGACTAGTGTTTCAGTGGCTCCTTTCTCGACTAGTGTTTCAGTGGCTCCTATCTCGACTAGTGTTTCAGTGGCTCCTTTCTCGACTATTGTTTCAGTGGTTCTTTTCTCGACTAGTGTTTCAGTGCCTTCTATCTCGACTAGTGTTTCAGTGGCTCCTATCTCGACTAGTGTTTCAGTGGGTCTTTTCTTGACTAGTGTTTCAGTGACTCCTATATCAACTAGTGTTTCAGTGGCTTCTATCTCGACTAGTGTTTCAGTGGCTCCTATCTCGACTAGTGTTTCAGTGGCTCCTATCTCGACTAGTGTTTCAGTGGCTCCTATCTCGACTAGTGTTTCAGTGGCTCCTATCTCGACTAGTGTTTCAGTGGCTCCTATCTCGACTAGTGTTTCAGTGGCTCTTTTATCGGCTAGTGTTTCAGTGGCTCCTATCTCGACCAGTATTTCAGTGGCTCCTATCTCGACTAGTGTTTCAGTGGCTCCTATCTCGACTAGTGTTTCAGTGGCTCCTATCTCGACTAGTGTTTCAGTGGCTCCTATCTCGACTAGTGTTTCAGTGGCTCCTTCTCGACTAG